TCTGATCTATTTTTGTTATTTTGTTACAAAATATTAGCCATTTGGACTCTTTGCTAGGTGTGACCACACCACTTTTCCCAAAGGAAGCTTTTCTTGGTGATATTTACAGCAGGAAACAGGTACAGACAGACAGGTGCTTTCAAAAGCCTACACACAGGTAACACTTCTGTTGTTAGTTTTTTTTTTTTTTAAAAAGACACATTCAGATGGGGTCGTGACTAGTGTTGAAGAGCTGGGTGACTTCCAAGCTGCTGTCCCAGGCGTGGCTGTGAAAGAGCGGGCAGGACAAGGACAGCTCTAGCTCACGAAACACTGCCGGCAGTCCCTGGAGCCTCCACCAGCACAGTGAGGCAGCTGGTGGAGTGGGAGATGGAGGAGCTTGCTCAGCAACTTGCATTTCAAAGCAGAGACTCTGCCAAGCAGCAGCTTCTTTGATTTTAGGGCTCAGATTTGTTTTGGAGACCTCACAAACACGTGCAGATAGTTGCAGGTGGAGCCTTCTGAAAAACAGGTAACAAAACTCAGACTATTACAGCTCAGAGGCCCTCAAATACTGCCAAATCTGGTGGTACCTTTTTGTGAAGAAGTTTGAGTATTGATGAAATTCTGGTTGTGGGCCATACCCACACCTTTCCTCTACAGGGAGGAGAGAAAATGTGACCAGTGGGATGCTTTGAAGGTCTTGCAGAAAGCACTAGGCGTTGCTACCACAGTGGCCCAGACTATGGCATTAAAAGTACTACAGCAGCAAACACTGCAATAAACCCACACTGTTTGCACTAAGCTTGATTGTCCTGTTGCATTTTTCCATCCCTTTGCTACTGGTGCAAACAGATTAATTTCACTGGACAGGCACTAACATGAGCAAGGGAGAATCAGGACAGAGCCTAGATTTTGTGTAATGCAGCTCTGCAGACCTCAGTAACACCTTCCTCTCTCTCACCATCCAGCAGAGCCACTGTCGTGTTCGGCCACTCAGTACCCAACACTCACTGCAGAATACTTTTTACTGGGTTTCTCTTTTCTCTCTCCCTCCCCTCCTTTTTTAATATAAAAGGATATGAATTCGGTAGGAAAAAGCCACAGGTACGTTTGGGTTGATCTAATCTCTGCAGCAGAAATTCCTGCCTGATCCCTCCACCTGAAAGATTGTGCTAGGGTCATGATCAGAATCACTGCTGTCAAGAGCTGGTGATTTTTCTTTGGGCTGATCCCTCTGGGCGAGCTGTGGTATACTTTTTTGTCCTTCATCAGGTTGTCACTGACATGCTCCTTCTAGCCTGCCACCCCGTCGAGGATCAGTCTGTGTGCGAGGGTGTCTGTTCACGGTACTACAGCTACACTGAGTCTGTGTGTCTTGCTTGTGTGTGGGAGGGCTGTGGGAGCAGACAGTACAATAGATCAGATGAGGTGTAGACATGCTTTAAAGTGCTTGTCATCCTTCGAGACTAACCTTCAAAGGAAAAAAGGAAAAAAAAAAAAAATCTGGGTATTTTGAAGTGAAGTCCGAAGGGCTCAGCTACACAGTAGAAATTAGAGCAACCTGTTCCACGACAACCTGGAATACAGTGGTTTGGTGTCTCTCCAGCTAAACCTGACAGAAGATGTTGTAGCCAGCAGACAGCGAGGCTTAGCTATGTCTGCGTCTCTGTCCAAAGCTCAAGGCCAGCAGTATCCTTTGCTGGGAAATCAGGGAAATGCAGACAAATTACCCCGAGAGACTGCTGTGCCTCAGGTACCTTGGCACTTCAGTTAACTCACTTCCATCCTTCATCCAGCTGGAAGAAGGGAGTCTCATGGAAGCTTCCTTATTTCTTCTTTACATTCTTGTAGCTCTCCCAATCAATTATTAAAGCAGCAAACCTCTCTTGGAGGAACTTCATAGGCATTGCTATAAATATTTTATCTAAAAAAATTATTTCATCAAGTACCTTAAGGTTTTTTGTTGTTGTCACTTTGTGTTAAATGTCAAGTAAAATCTAATTTATTTATTTTAACACACAGAGAGATTTTCAGTGGCTCACTGCACTCTGGGAAAAAAAAAAACCCAAACAAATAAATACTGCCATTCCTCTCAGACAGCGAAGTCACCGCTGAGAAGGGAGGGCAGTGTCAGTGCCTCATGGACACCACCCCTTTGAGTGAAAATAAAATGGTAGCTACATGCTATGTTGACCGGACAATGGCAGATGCCACAGGTATACTTTCCCAGGAAGCTACGGGCAGGTTGGATGAGATCCCAGCTTCTGTGAGGTGGCAGGGTGTCACCTTGCAGGGAGCCAGTTGTGCCTCAGAGTTGTCTGGAAGGTGATGGGCTGGGGGTGAAGACCTTTCACTGGGTCCAGCTTTAAGACGTGGAGCATCCTCACTGCCCTGGAGGGGGCTGGCTAGAAGAAACCTTCTCTGGCCTGGAGGAAGACTGGCCTTCTATTCAGGATTGTTTTACAATCTTTTCTGTCTTCTGCTTCCACAGTCCTCCCTGAGGCTGTGCCTGTTGGCTCCTGGTCAGTACATCTGCTACTGCATGTTGAAGTGGCAGCCTAGTGCCCCGCTCCAGATGTCAAAGCAAACAACTTAGACAGACCTGTTGGAGCACCTGGGTGCATGGGTCAAGGCTCAGCAATAAGGGGACTGGGAAGCGAGCAGGCTTCTGCCCCAGAGGGCTGCACCCAGCCCCTCTCTGCTTCCCTAACTCCATCTGGGCTTATGCCCATGTCAAATATGTGAACCCTCTCATCTGAACAGTACAGCAGAGCCAACAGACATCCAAAGAGTACTGAGTGGGAGCCAGTCCCTGATGCACCGTGTTTTTTGCCACTGGAAATAGCCCCAGAGATGAGCATACCAGTGCCATCCTGCCTCTGCCTTCGCTGTCCCCCTTTCCCTGACATTTTGCACATCGCCACCACCTCCTGCCACTCCTCACCCAGTGGCTGCATCATCAGCACCCAGGGCTCAAGCCGCAGCCTTGCACGGGAAGGAAGAGCATTTCTTTCTTTCCCTCTTAAAATAAAATAAAAGTAAAGGCCCTAAAAGGCATTCTGTCCTGTTTTAAAATCCTAAAGTTGATCTTCTTAAGCCTTGAAGGGAGACAGAGTGAGTGAGCGAGACCAAAGCCTTTAAGCTAATTAATACCTTCCCCTCCCTGCTGCTCGAAGAGATTTTTTTTTCTAAAAATACATCCATAGCCCATTTTAATGCCATCTTTCTTCACATCAATGTCCCAAATAAAGCAGAGGAGCTGAGCTGTCATCTCTATCTCAGGATCTTCCCCTCCCCTCACTTTGAAGCTGGGATAGGGAGAAAGAGAGGAGAAGAGGCCTTGGAGTCTGCTATCTGGGCAGGTTTCCTGTAGGAAGGGCTGATGGAGACAAGAGTATAGCCAGGCAAGAGATACAGATGGGATCTCACATGGGTGGTCTCCAAAAAGCCCCTTCCCTCTAGCCCCTGGGAGGAAGAGCCCAAGTGAAGAGAACATCCACCCCAGAAGGTGAATGTAACACCTGGCTTAGCTTTCAGAATATAAAAAAGCAGGTGTGCAGGAAACACAAAACCAGCTAGAAGGAGGAAAGCAGAGGTGGGTCTGTTTGATGCTAGAGAAGACAATCGTTATGTGTGTGTGTTGAGGTTGGAGGGCACCTCTTGGTGCCATCTCTTTGGAAAAGTACTCATCCATTCCAGAAAGATCCTTGAGCTTAATCCCTCCCTTCTGCTCCCTCAGAACTGCTTGGTGTTTCCTTTAGTAAGCATGCGCCATACATACGCTACCATACAGGTGTATTTACATGTGATGAGGTCTGCTAGGTCTCAGCAGAGGTCTCTGGTACAATGCTCCAAAATAATAACAACAGAAAGAGTTTTGGTGTTCAGAGTGAGGCCATCTTTGCGTTGTACTGCAGCTCAGGACAGTCTCTCCTCCTCTCGAGCTCTCTTTCACTCGTGCGCTCCCTCGCTTGGAACCGGCTGCTGCAAGGAGATAATATTTGAAGAGCGATGAGGAGAAAGCATGGCAAGTGGTACAAGTTCTCAGCTCCAGCTTAGCAGGCAGCAGCAGTGGTGGCAGGAGGAACTCCACCCCTGGGAGTGCCCCAAGGTCGGTCCTTGGCATGGGTGAGTCCGTTTCTCTCCGAGGCTGGTGAAGTTTTGGGGTGGGTACAAACCTATGGCCGGCTAAATGCAAGGTGAGGAAGGAGGTCGAGGAGTAGCAAACGGAAGACACAGTGCCTAGAAAGCAGCAGGTCATCAAGCCTCTCAGGAACAGGGCAGCAAAGTGCTACATGGGGACGGCAACGAGCACGGGAGGCCAGCTGGGCTGGCAGGGTGTGAGGATGTGTGAGCATGTAGGTTGGCAGGTTCTAGAGATGGCTCCTCACAATTAGCATCACCTTGAGGGGAGACAGGGTAAGAGTTAGGTCGGTCGGCTTCTTTTTTTTTTTTTTTTTTTTTTTCTTTTTTTTTTTTTTTAAAAAAATATCTTTTCCCTAGTTTTGCTTGTTTTTGTGCTTATGTGTAGAGGATTATGCATATACAATTTAAAAAAATATAGAATATTTTGTACACAATTTTCTGATTCCTTTTGAATCACCATCTCTGCAACAACCTTCTGACTACTAACATAGTTCTAACAAAGCAAAAAGGTTTGCACTGGAAATAATGGTGGACTCTATTAACAGTAGCAGGCTTATGACTGAGTTTATTTTAGCTACAGACTAAATTTTTGTGAAGTTTCCAGAGTGGCCAGATGTGAGAGAAATGCAATATTAGAAGATTACAAACTAGGAACTATGAATAAGGTGAAAACAAAGGCTGGAAATAGTGTGCTGAGTACGTTTATGAAGCTGAAACTCTCCAGAAAATCACAGAAATATTGGGTTCCCCTTGTTCTATGTGGGGTGGATTCCCAGCATGAATTTTCATTTGTGGAAACTGTAAACCTAAGGAGTAAAATGCACCATATACCCGCTTTATATCAGGTCCATAGGAGAGCGTGCTCTTTTTTTTTTTTTTTTTTTTTTTTTTCCTTCTTCTTTTACTTAAAAAATAAATCACAAACTAGATCTCTGTAGGCAGAAAGGGTCCCCGGGAGGTGGGAGGGAAGGGAAGCGGGGAAGTCTGTGCTGTTTTGGTGCTGGTGGTGTGGCTACACGAGGCTGCGTGAGCCACTGGAGTACCTGCGCCTCTGAAGCAGGGAGCTAGGGGGACAATACTGGTGGGGGTGGTTGTAGGGAGGTGGTGGAGGTGGAAGGGGAGGCTGATGGACCAGCTTCATGGGGGTCCCAGGGAGCCCAGTGCCCACACCACGCCAAGGGGTGGAGGTGCAGGAATCGGAGGTGACGTAGCGCGTCAGAGTCTGGTTGAGGGCCGGCTCCATCCGAGCGAGGCACGGCTTGTCCAAGACAATGACTTTGACAATCTGCTGGCACTGTACAAGTGTCCCCGCCGAGGCGGGGTGCGAGGGCACCAGTGCTGTCTCCAGCCGCTCCCGTGGCACCACGTTAAGACGCATGCTGGGCTGCATTCCACTCTCGGGCCCCAGGGCGGAGTTGTGCTGGTACGTTTGAAGCCTGTTGTGAATTGACACCTAGTTTAGAAACAGCCAAAGAAGCATTAAATGTTACAAGACTTTTCCCATCCGCTGCTACTGGCTGCCCTGAACCCCCACCACCACTCAGCCTCGCATGCATTAAAACCCTCAAAAAAAACCAACAGAACAGGCAAAACCCTGGCTGATAGCCCCCTCCTCCCTAAGTAGCCCCATCGTCCCCATCTAGGCCTAAGTGCCCCTGTCCTTTCCATCACGTCAAAGGCGGCAGGGCCGGCGTTCCCAAATGCAGTGCAACTTTGATTATCCAAACAGCACAGGGAACGAAAATCAACTCTCAGGAGTGGAGGCGTCCATGAATTCTCATGGTAATGAACAGACCTTGGAGGTCATGCCCTTGTCCCCACCAGCAAAAAGGAGAAGGGAACCAGACAGAAAAGTTTCAGATAATCGAGGTTGTACGTTTCCACAAAATGACAGTGGCTGAATCTGAGATAGAGAGAGACAGAGAGACTCAAGCCTTTCCCAGCTCCCTGCCTTTCTGAGTAGGAAGGTACACCACATGACTGGATAATCTGTTTACAAAGGAAAAAGCAGAAATCTGACATACTCTAGCAAAAGGCAGCTCCCTCTGATCCATTTGATGGTTTGTCAGTGAAAGGAAATGATTTTCAAAAAAAAGAAAAAAGAAAGAAAAAATGCCCGTCTAGCTCATACAATGATAAAAGAAATTCATGATGAAATGGCAGCAGATTAGATAATCTCAAAGAAATGGAAATGCTCCTCTGCTGGCAGAGTATTACTTGGGCAGCTGAAAGGGGGGAGGGAAGCAGGAGGTCATCAGGGTCCTCACAGAGAGATGCTGATAACGGAGTCAAATAAGGGAGCTCACTTAAGGGAGCCAGTTTAAAAGGAGGAGCTGGCCTGGACTGGAGGTCCCTAGGTGGGTACGCGGAGCAGGAAAATGGTGCTTCCTGAATGGTGGATGAAGCTATAGTTCCTCCTGGCAAGGATATGGGCTGATGGAGACCCCAAACCAGAGCAAAGTTGCCGGTTCAAAACTGAATGTCAGTCAAGTGACAAAGCCTGGGTAGGAAACAAGTGCTTGCAGGTTGGCATGGCACTTCCAGCTAGGCAGGGGTACAAATAGGCAGCCGGGACAGTGGGGGTGCTCTGATGGTCTGGCATGTTGGGTGGCAGCGCCAGCAACTGGGAAGCAGAAGCTGTGGAGTGGCAAAGCTTCCCACCATGCTGGAACGAGGACAAGCTGTCCATCCCTACTCAAGCATGGAGGTTGCTCAGACTCACTACACAGCAGGACACAATAATGTGTCAATATTCATTCAGAACATCCCATAGGAAAAAACTAGTTTCTGGGCCATGAAGTGCTAATGACATTAGGATACACAGAAGCCATTCTCCACATGGAAACAACAGGAATAGGAAATTGGTTGGGAGGGGCACCTTCCCAAGGACGGGGGTGTCTGCAGGGAAATAGGGTGCTCTTCAGGGAAAAGAAGAAGCACTCACTTCCCACAGAGAAGCTGAACTCTTTAAGTAAATATACTATGACAAGAGGGGAAAGAACTACCCTGGAAAAGGGCAAATTCAGGACAATGGAGATATTCCAGACAGGGAGAGAGTAGAAAGCAGTAGATAAGAATTTCAGTGTGAAGATCGCATTTTCCTGTTTCCTCACAGGCAGTGTGAGTATGGGTGTCTGTGAAGAAACAGGCAACCCACTGGATGCTAGACATCCCTGCAAAGATAGATGTACACAGGACAGCCAAGCTCCCTACCTAGGAAGATGAGGCTCTAGGGAAAGTCTCTGGTATACAGTGGCCATGCTTAATCCCCTTCAAGAGGGGATGGAGAGACAGAGTTGCAGAGATTGTGCAGGAAAGCTGGGCTGCGGGGAATTTGCATGTGATGCTGCATGGAGTTAGCATGTCAGAGAAGTCTTTAGTGGGGGTTCTCAGTCTCCCCATAAGCAGTGGGGTGGGTTAGTCTACAGCGTTTGGGAGCTTGGTCCATGAGGGATGTTACAGTTATAAAAACGGATTGAAAATGCTTTGAAGTTTAGTTTGGATTTGAAAGTTGTATTACCCGTCCTAGCAGTAACTTTTAATTGTATCTCTGGAAATTGGTAAAATTGTCAGTCTGGCTGGGGAGGCATTGATTAAAACCTGAGAAAAGAAACAACAGAGAATGTGAGAAGAGCTGAAGTGAGAGAGAATTACTTACCTCAGCTGCTCTGCACTCTACTTACCTCCACTGTGCTGTCCGAGACCTTCTCCCCCAAATCCTTCTTGCCTTTGGAATAAAACAAAAGGTCTCACTCATGAGGTCTGTACCTCTAGTCAAGAGCTGGTGCTCATACTGTGGACTGGAAAGCTAAAGGGAAAGGTGCAGGACCAGACAAGACTCTTGACTGCAAGAACAAATCCAGACTTCCTTGCAACCTGATCGCTGTTTAGTGGGCCCCTTTGGGGCCTACCCTTAGGTCCTGATACCAGTATCATTGAGTTGGTAGCCACTCACCTCTGCGTGAGTGGCTGGCATATGAGCCAAGGCATGAATGGACACAAAGCCTTTGATACAAAGAGGCTGGTCCAAATTGTTGGTGAAGAGGCTGGAGGAAATTGATTGCGCAGTTACCGTGTTGCATCAGTTCAGGAAAGAAAAAGTGGAGCAGGCTCTCCAACAGTTACCTGTGCTCCATCAGTAATGTCTCTTTGCTAGGTGTTATGGCTACGGACTGGGTAATGAGACTTTAATGGCTTTTCTAGGATATTTGAAGAATCCATATGTTCTCATATTTCCACTATTTGCCCAAGGCTAAAGGATACAAACCCAAACATCTCATTTTGCAGTTATCCTCACAGGAATCAATGAGAACACATTTGCAAAGAACCACTGCTTGACCAAGAGAAGTTGGGTGCCCTCTTACCTGTTGGAGAGCCTTGCTTGGACTGCAGTTCCATCTGGGCTCCATTGGTCCTTAATGAGAGAGTCTTTGCCCCTTGCTGTTTCTCCAGCTCCCCTGTAAGACAGACATGACATACGGCAGTGAATACTGAGAGGGATGAAGAGGACACCAGCATATTGAAGGAACAGTATGGGAAGTCAGCAAGGAGAATTAATGCAAGAAAATTACAGGAGAATGTCAAATAGGGAGGAAGAGAGGAACAGCCAAGAAAAAAAAAAAAAAAAAAAAGACGGAGACAGTGGAGGAGAACTTGACCTGTGGAAGAACTTATATATCTCCACATGACCTTCTATGTATGACCTGCATTTATACAGAATAGGTTATTGCTCCACAGGAGTGGATGCTGAGCTACTTTGGCTATTCAGTTTATCCAGTGAAAGGCCATCAAAGGCTACATGGACATCTAATCTGTCTAAGACAGGCCACAGAAGAACACAGTGCAGACTGCTTGTCCCCCAGACATTCCTGGAATGAAGGATAACTCTCCTAAAGGTTACCAGACCTGTCTTGTAATTCCCAGCTATCTACAGCTCATATTTGCATAGTCAAAGGAGGATGGGATGGAGGAGAGTTTTCTGGGTCTGACAGTCTAAGCTTCCCTGTTCCAGGCCATTGTATCATACCTTCTGCCTCATAAGCATTTTAAGTACTGAAGTTCTTCCATTTCTTCTGCTGGTGGGTAGTCACAGAGCCTGACTGTGTCTTTTACCCTATTGGTGAAGACAAGAACACTCCTGCACAGACTTCCTCTTCCCCCCTGTTCCTGAAGAACTAATTTCTTTTACCCTTTCTCCCTTGTAGACACATGCAGTGTGATGGCATTGGAGTGTGAATTGTTTTAGAGGCCCTTACATTCGATTCGTATCTGCTCCAGCTCTGTCACTTCTGCTATTGACTCTTTCAGATCTTCCACAAACTTCTGCATTTCCTCGGCGCCCAGAGCACAGAAGTGTAGTACCTGTTTCTTCTCTGAGCCTGAAACTGGAGTCACCAGTGTGATGCCATGGGGGTAGTCTGTAAAGAAGACGTGTTGACAAAACAAAGAGGCATTAGGCATTCTTGCTGGAGTAGCTGGATGCTTTGGTACTTCTGCAGGACAGAGGGTTTCCAACGTGAGCCCAAAGGAATGGCACACCTAGAGTTTGTCACACTGCAAATTGTTGGAACCTGCAGCATTCCAGCCCTCCAAGGGAACAGAATGGTCAAGTGCCACCAGCACCACAGCGCTGCCAAAACCAGAAAACACTAGCTCTTAGTTACACTTAGTACAACATTGGCTCTAGGAACCTGAGGTAGGACTCTAAAGCCCTTCTGAATCTGCGGAGGAGTAAACAGTATATATGAGGCCAACAACACTTTTTCTCCTGTGGGAGATGCAGCAGGAGAGGTTGGCTCCTGGAGTCAAAGCCAGAACACCCACAGTGGCAGGACTTCTCCCCAGTCTCTACTTGCACCAGCAGAGAACGTGGCAGAGATGTTAGGGCAGCATGGGTGGGGAGCTCATTGTGTTGTGCAGAGAATGGTACAGAGAAAGATGTTGGTTTGTAGATCTCCACTTAATACTCCCCAACAGGCAAAACAGACGGGAATGTAAACGAAAGGACATGACCAGAGAGTGAAAATATAACAAAAGGCCTTGTGTTTTAAAGATCAAGTTGGGTGTAGGGAGGTGGTGGCTGGAGTTTCAACCAAAAGAATCAGGAGAATGAGAGCATGCAGAGAACTTGCTACGCTTGTGACTTGACTTTCTCTACCTTTTGCTCAATGGTCTGTGGTTTCACTCCTTTATCTCCTTCCCTCTCACCCTTCTCTACATTTAATTTCCCTCTTCCCCTTTCCTGCTTTTTCTTCTCCTCCACTGCTACTGCATCTGCAGTCAAAGGACCAACCTGCTATGTGCTGCCAGCCATCAGCTCCCACCGTTTGTGTCCCAGGCCCCTTTTCCCACCCTGTGTCTGTCTCATCTGTTCAGATCACAAGCTCTTTAGGATATCTGCTTTTCTGTCTCTGCAGGGGATACACAACAGGTTGCTTTTGCCAGAAGATCCTTGGGCACTCAAAGGATTGTCACAATACCCCTGAAAGATGATTCCAGCTCTGATGGTGTCTCCTGGGGATGCTCCATTATGAATTACTCTTTTGTACATACAGGGATGTGAAAGCCTCTGCAGAGGGTAGGGTGATGAGAGAGTCACTCTTGCTGCCAATCGGGTAGAGGGAGGCTGTAAAAGACTTAGCATAGCCATAGTGCTGCTACAGTCTTCCTTCCTTGCAGCACGTTCTGCAGGTGCTCACAAAAACCCCAGTGGGCATCAGCCGTGCTTGCCTGGGACCGCTGTGCAGCCCCTCTGCCTGCGCCAGCAGGAAGCCTGCCTGTTTTTGGAACTCCTCCACCACACAACCAGCCTCAATCATGACACATCATGGCTCTATTCCCAGACCATCAAGGTCAGGCTGACTAGGGCTGGCCTCTCGCCATCCTTTGGTGGGTGCTGTTCCAAGGGCTCTGCTTCTGTCTTGGGAAGCTTTCAGCGCAGCGCGGCACGGCACAGTGCAGGATGTGGCAGCAGCACCTGAGCCTTTATCAATGTCAAAGGTAGAGGTGGGAGTTGTGACTTTGGGCATGAGGAGAGAGGGGGCTAAAGCTGGCAGCAGCAGTTTTATCAACAAGGTTCTCCACCTACAGTGGGCTCCTGAGAGCTCAATGAGATATATCTGGGGGTTGATTCCCTCATTCCTCCCCACTAGTGCTCTCCCTGCTGCCATGACAAGCCAGATCCTTCAATGACCTTAATTCAGCCCTTCTGTAGATACTCAGGCCTAGTGAGAGGAGCCTCTTCTCATCACATTGTACCTGCACAGTGATCTCCTCAGCACCAAGCCTCAGTTTTCTCTCCTCCACTTTTAACCCTGATGGAATTTCTCTTCTGATGCAAACTCACATTGGGTGACACAGCCTCCTCCCTCCTTCTCTTTTTCCCTGCCAAATGCCTCTCGGCAACCAAGGAGAAATGGACTTACATTCATTCTCAAAGAGATGGAACTGCATCCCTAGCAGGCCGACCGACTTGCAAAATGTGTACGTTGAGGAGCTTTTCTTCTTGGGGCAAAGCTTGAGGATCTGTTGGAGGAAGAGATGCATCATTGGGCAGGGTAGCTGGGAACAGTGAGGCAAGAACAATGTGAACTGCTCAAAGCAAAAAAGCTTTTTGCGAGCTCTGTTAATTGTACATGGGAGTAACACTTGGTGACTGACAGGCATTTTGCCCAGAAAGCTGCCTGGCATGCTGCACTTGTAACAACACTTCTGAAATTCTGTATGCATGGCTCTGGGGCCCATTCAGCTCCCTGTCTCCCAGGGGTACTGGCTTTTTGATGCCCACATTTCTGACTTTGCAAGGGTCATTCTCTTCACCAAGGGCCAGATCAAAAGGCGAAAGGAAGCCTGTCAGAAATACCTTAGAGCTGGAAACAGGCTGGAAACATATGTGAATTCTGTGCTGTCCTCATTCCCTTAGCGCTAGTTCTTATGGATCTGATCTATCCCATGGAGTAGAGGGACAGCAAGGAGCAGAACCTCTCCCCACGTTCACAATTGTACAAATGGGCGCAGAGGAACAGGTGGGGAAAGCTCTCTTGTCCTCTGCTCCTCCTACAAAAGGGTTTGGGTTTAGCCTTACATTTGCAACATCCACAGTTTCATTTTGCCATTAAATTCAGCAGAACTTCCACCTTGTTTGGCCTCCTCCTAGTCTCAGCGTACCTCTGCACTCCCTTTTACCTGTCTGAACTCAGTTGCAAGGTTGCTGGGGCAGAACACTTTTAAAAGTACTATACCCATTTGGGGCTCCAGTAAGTCATATCTACTCTCCTGCAGCCTTTGCAATGTTAAAGGCAATAGTTGTAAAGTGTCTAGCAGGAAAGATTTAAAGTGCATGGGAGGGCTCTGTCTACTACAGTACAAACAGACAAAGAAATGAACCTCCCTTTCATGAAATGAACCTCCCTGCCAGCAAAGGCATGAGAGAGAGCAGTGACATTGCTTGGATGGCTGTGGGATGTGACAGTTTGCTTTTTCATGGGTTAGAGGAGTTTTAGATTTGGTACGTTTTTTAACAGTGAAGGATCCACAACTGACTCCTACAACAATGATGGACCAGGAGATGGTCTGTCCTTAGGACAGGGGAAATGGATGTTGTGGACTGGTTTTAGATTTCTTCATCGAAATCAGGGTGAGTTTTATCACTGCAGTGCCTAATTGTCAGAGAGCACTCACCACCAGCAGGTCATTGAAGAGAAAAACTTCCCTCTGGTGAGCTGCCTGCTTCTGCACTTTGTTCACATCAGTCACTTCGTACAAGCGGCTGCAGCAGACCAGCCGGCGATGGGGCACGGACAGAACCTGCAGAAGACCCACAAGAGCATGAAGAGGCTGAGGGAGGTGCAACTGTGGGTCTCCCCCCTCCTCAGTCTGCACAACCCTGCCCAGGGACAGTAGCACAAGCCAGTTCTACCCACTCTGCCCACTCAAATCATCTCCTCACCACCACTCCTCACCATCACTTTTCCTGCTGGTGCAACAGCAGAGAGAGCTATGCCTTTGTCATCTGGATAAATCAGAGGAGTGGGACAGGCTGTAGGCAACCCTCTTGCTCACACGTCCTATCTTCATGTACCTCTGGCTTCCAATCACTGGGTGACTGCTCATCTTCTCTCACTCCACTGGACACCTTGCAGGTTTCTTGGGCTTTGGGAAATTATTCTGCTCATTTTGGGTAAACAGTTTGCGTGATTTTGCATTACAGATTGGTTACTGCTAAAGAAGCTGTCTCTGCATTTGGGGGTCTCTTAACGCCAGCAATCCTTAGGGAACTCATTAGAGACAGATAGGTGAAATTTGTTTTCTATCACTTTGCTTTCCGCTTCCTACACCCTGACAAGGCCTGAAAGTTTGAAGTACTGCAGAGCTATCTCTGGAGTATTGGCAGGCAAGACCTGCATTGGCAGGCAGGACCTGCAATGAGATTCTTGGGCAAACAATTACCGCACCAGATACTGTAAACTCTGGCCAAGGAGATCCTCCAAAATTAGGAAAGAATGAGATAGCAAGGAAGAAAGTGTTTGGAGAAAAAAGAGTGAATTCATCAATATAGGCAAATAAAGTATTACAGAAGAGGAGTAGGGGCAGGAAAAAGGCAGAAAAGAGGGCAGTGAGGGAGGTGGGGGTGAAGGGGGTGAGTGGATGTTAGCAGGGTTATGGGTGCTTACCGTTTTCATTCCAACTATGGACTTCTCCACTTTGGTGACATAAGTCACGTGGTCCTCATTGGATTTTAGCTCTTTCTGCTGGATTCTCTCATAGATCCCCACCACCAGCTCCCGTGGGATGTCAGCACCGTCGTCTACCCCTGCCAAACACAGAAAATGTTGGGCAGGCTAGGCAGGGAGAAAAGGAAAACAAGTGGCCCCTGACAGGTAACTACTGCCTCTGCGCTGTGCAATGCTGGAAAGACTGAAAGGAAAGAGCAATACTTTGCTTTACGCTGTCTTCTTTCTTGCTCTAACACATCTAATGCACCAGCAGAAGTGACTGACATCTCTAAGGCCAATGCAGAAGATTTCATTATTCCTTTGCTCTGCATGGTGGCTCCTTTCCATGTGTTCCCTAAGGTTTTATAGCCACAATTTCACATTCATATATCTTGGGCCACTCAGCAGCAACCCCTGCATTGATTTCATATCATCAGAAGTGCTAGATGTGGAGGAGATCTATGGTGGGATTCAGCTGTTCCTCTTGCCAATGCAAGCGTCAGCTCTCTTGTTTGCTCGGTGGCCTCCATCATCTTCCTTTTGTGGTGTCTCTTAGGAGTAATAATTCCCTGTTATTCTATCTGTGATATCTCTGTCTTGGCCCTGTCCCTTTCCTCTTTTACATCTCCTTAGATAACTCTTCAATTTTTGCTGTCTGACCCTTGCAGAGCCTTGCAGAAAAATTTTCTTTCCCCCTTTCTTGATCCAAACACCACAAATTAAACTGCCAGTCTTTCCTCTGAACTAAATTCCTTCAGTCATTTTATATTCATTTTCTCTGCTTTCCCTCCAGCTCCCTGATCTGACAGGTACTACCCTGAGTCATGCAGGTGAGGAACTGCTGAGGAACGGAGAGGCATTTTCATCTCCTGGCTCCCTCATCCACATCCTTGCAAATACATCCTGAATAATCTGTGTTTTTCAAACACAGGCTGGTGAAGCTACTGACCTGGGCACTAGCCTGCAAGTGAGCCTGGAATGAACTGTCTCCCCTTATCTGTAACGGGGTGACATGCACTTGCTCTAGTGAGTTGTGGTGTGTTACATACTAGAGGTGAGTGATCCTTGCATTGGTTGAATTCATTGTGAAGTGGCAGATTTTCAAGTAACTCTAAGTGTAAGTTAACATAAAAAACCCTTTTGAGTTAGTGCTACCAGCTGTAATACCAAAGGGAATGATGGCAGATATCAGCCCCATTCAGTATCTCAGGAAATAACTTGAAAGAGGGCCTCAGTGTCACATTATACCAGTCTGAAGTGGATGACAAATTGGGGAAGGTGTGGGAGGCTGAGACGACACTTTCTGAACAGCAGCCACGACAAAGAAACAAGTCAAAGGAACCCACAGAAGTTAAAAATCTAGACAGGGATTTACACTGAGAAAACTTTGAGGGAGCTTCATTGGAATTGCAGATGTGCAGTAAGAGACACTTGGAAGATGTTGGACCTAGGATGACCTAGGAGTAAACAAGCCTGGAAAATTAGACAAGAATTTGTCTAGCCATGATGTCAAAAAGGCCAAACAATACTAAGCTGCATTAGCAGATCTGAAAATAAGGAGGAGGCAGTGGCTCTATATCTGAGTATGTTGTGACCACATCTGAAAAAGTGCTTTTAGCAACCTATTACTAAGATGGGAAAGACTGACCTTGAAATACAGAAGAAAATTTATTTGGGGAACTAACGTATCAGAAATTGTGAAGAGGTAATGTATGCATGAACTCTGTCAGGCCTACAGTTACTATAAGTAATTGCAAGCAATTAAGAAGGGGGAGATTTAGCCTGAATAGAAGGAAAATGTGTTCATACATTCAAAGCAGCAAGGAGGGGAATGGCTTGTTTAGCACAATCCAGCAGGGTCTAAGAAGGATGGAACTGAACAATAGGAAAATGTAATACAATGGACTGCTTCCAAGCAGTGAGATCTATTAAAAGATGAAACCATTTCTCAAGGAAAATGGCTGGTTAGTGAGAAGGCTGGACAGCTTTCTGCAGAAGACAGAGCCTAGACTTTCCCCTTCCCTGGAATTCTAGAGGACACCTCAAAAGGCCCTCCATGGATAGCTCACAGGGAGCAGCAGTAGGTCTGGAGAAAGGCAGCTCCACTAGGTTTTTGCTGCCTTCACCTAGGCAGAATTTAGAGCAGAAAGAGGGGAAAAAAAAATCAAAGCAAGACACTCACCTCTCAGATTGCGAATGAAGTCCTCCAGCATCATCTTCCTGTCAGGCTTGATGTTGGGGCTGTACATGTCCGTATTGAGGAGGATGATTGCAAAGGCCAAGATGAAGATGGTGTCCGGGTTGTGAAACTGCTGGACCACATCTGGGTTACACATGCAGTACCTCTGGCTGCAGCAGGAGGGATGCACACACTTAACATGAAAGTCCTCTGTTCCAGGGTGGCAATGGCTTAGTCACAAGTGGATCAAATTCCTCCTTTCACTCCACCTCTCACACAAATGAGAAGGACCCGGCTGCTCTCTGAAGCCATATTTACCCACCAATGGCTGAAGTAGATGACTGAAAGTTCAGCCTTCTTGTCTTAAGGAACCAAAATGGCAAGTGAGACTAGAGAGGACTACTCAGACTGGTGTCACTACGAAAAGGTAATATAGGAGGTGTATGCTCCAGCCTGCCTTGCTAAGGGCACAGCACTCCTCTGGATGTACCAGGGGAGCAACCCAGCACCTCTGCAAGCCCCAGTGCTGCTCTTCCTGGGAGACACCAATGAACAGGGAGTCCCTTGCTGGCAGACATGTCAGGTCTGGCCTCCTCTGGGCCTTTGTGCCCTTCATGCCACTGAATATCTGACAAGGACATGGCTCTGCTGCAGCAGTGGCACAGAGGATTCTGGGCTTCAGAAGCCCCTCCATGATCACCTTGTTTGGAAGGGAGGTCCTTGGCCACTCATTCCATGGCTGCTTCATGTTTTCTGCCTTGGGTGTGCTCTATGTTTCCACCTGGTTTCAGCAGTGGGGCTGCAGGGCTCATTCTCTTACCTGAAAGCCTCAATGAGCCGCTCGACCTTCTGCGCCTCCCCCTGCACGCGGATGTGGGCCTGGAATTTCCGCAGGGCTTCGTCCAGCTCCATGCCTGAGAAGTCCATCTCGTCCACCACACAGCTGTGGGAGGGGAACACAGCCTTCATCAGCACCTCCTCCCACCGAGGACTCCAGGCAGGCACCTTCACTGAGGTGCCAAGGCTCGGTACCCAAGGAAAATACCATGGGAGAGGCCCTGAGACGTCACTACAGCTGCCCAGATGGTACTCAAAATGGGCAGTAATTTCAGACAAGTGATTCCTGCATCCTACAGCAGATGGGAAATTCTTGTGCCTAACCATATGTATATATGCATGAGTGTATATATACACCATGATATATATATATCTCATATCATACCATATACAGCATATATACAGCATTGACGTATACATATACAAAGAAGGTGTATGTATATGTGTTGATATTTATCTAAATCTAACCAGATACAGATATCACAGAATCACCATGGTTGGAAGGGACCTCTGAGATCATCAAGTCCAACCTTAAAAAAAAAAAAACAACCAAAAAAACCTCACCACGTCTAAATTGACATAGATAGACACCAATATCAATATAGATATAGATCCATCTATTTCTGCCTTTCCTATCATCTGGCAATCATTTACACATTGTCCCTTCCTGTCTCCCTCTCAGCACATAGACTTGTTCACTACCCACTTATCCATCCTTCCCTTATTCACTGTGCTGTTCCTGCATTTGTCCCCTCCTCATCTTTCATTCAGTCCAGCATACATCCCCATTTGCAACCTATACCTTCTTCACCACTCATTACTCCCACCCAACCGCTGCAGCAACAATGTTCATTAGGTCTTTAAAGACCAGAGCCAGCTCAGAGAAAATAGGAAATGGTAGCTGTTGTACAGAAATAACATTGCAACGTCAGCTGGCTTGTAACACCAAGGTTGGGTAAAACTCTGCCCATGCAGTCAAACATCTGGACTCCCCAACAGTTAATTCTGTCCAAACCTATATTCATTTTATACATTTCTACCAATTCCACACGATCTTTTCCATTTCCACCATATCCCACTACCATCCTTCCCTGTTATCTGCTGGACATCCTTCACCTCATACATCTGGTATTGCTTTTCCTTTTACAGTGATGCATTGCACACCGGTAACTCATAGACAATTTAGATACCCAAAGAAGGGGATGAATCATCTCTTGTTTCCCACTAAAATATTCTCAGCTTATAAAGGTCCTACTGTTAGCCTCTAAAACCCACTACTACAGTTCTGGCTGTTTGGATTAGTCAAATAATCTAGTCGTCCTTATTCTTACTGCATGATATTTTGGTAATTTGTAATGACAACACCTTTCCCATGTGGCTTCAGCACATTTTGTTAAGAGTATTCCTACCTTTTGTGTACAGGTCATTACTGCAAGCATTAATCAAAAGACTAGAGTCAGAAAACTCTGCTCATAACCTCCCTTAGGCTCAGCTTCCCATTTCAGCAGAGTATGCAGGCACTAATGTCTGCATCAACCAGTTCTCTCCTCATTTACCATTCCTCTCCTAATTTCTCTCTCTTCTACTCTCAACTAACAATTTCTCATGTCAAATGCTTTACTGAAATCTAAAATTACCTTCTGCATGTCCCTTGTCTAGAAAACCAGTTATTTTAACAAAGAAAGACATTGAATTAATCTATTCTCCACTGGCTTTGGTATGTACCATTTACCTTCCTGTCTGCCATTCTTTCCCATAAATAAATTCTCAGAGCTGACATTCTGACAGACCAAGAAATTTGCAGGTTCCAAAATCCCACTTTCCTTAAGCCTTCCTTAAGTACAAAGTTACTAATTTGCTAATCATTGCTCATATGGCACCACCTGAACACTGTAAGTGTATTAAAAATTCAAGGACTTCATATTTTCTACCTTGGATGCTAATTCTATCTCCCTCCACCCCCCGCCCTTTATCTCATCCTCTGTGCTGTGTTCGGTTTGCTTTCTCATGTTGTAAAGGATAAACTGACCCCAAATTTAGGGTTAGGAGGAAATTTTCCCCAGTACAGGTTGTCTGGGACTATATGAGGAGTAGTACAGGGAAAACAGAGGAGGGGAGGATTAGTTCTTGTCTGGATTCTTCCATTTGCTAGGATTATCTGGAAATTTTACCAAACAAACCTCTGCTAAAGGGATGTGCTCTCATGAGTTTCTTCTTCTTCCCTTCTGTGATAAACTGGAGATGTGTCTGTTGGTCTTTTCTATAGTGCTGCAGCTTGCTGTAGGCTCTTGGGAAGTGTTTTGTGAGCTAAGTTGTTGAATGCCATGTGCAGCCTTGCTAGAACAAAAATCTATTGCATGATGTCTCAAACGGGCGAGGGACAGGGGTCAAAATGCTCAGAGATGTCTCTCCATCACCCTATTGATTCAAGAGTTGAGGTATCATGGCTGAATTGGAGGGACACCTCCAGAATAACTTACCAAGAGCTCTGGCTGAACATGGAGTTTTGAGTATCTTCTAAGGTTGGAGTCCTTACAAACTCAACTAGGAAATGTGTGCTCTTTCCCTGCACAAACTCCACATAATCAAAATGTAGGAACAAGGACAGAGACTCAGTGGGGAGGCGCTCATAGGGAATTTTACATTAAATCTTTCTTTTTCCTCTCCAACAGGTGGACAGCAAAAGCACTCACAAATGGTTCCTGGCAACAGCAAAAGCTTCCTCCACTACCTCTTCCCTTTGTTATTTTTTTTTTTCTCATACTCAGATGCCCCTCGGGTTGACATCAAGGCACTCTGCTTCTCAGAATTTATCTTTGATAGTAAGAAAAGTTTTTATCTGGTTAGTCATTATTGTGTTCACAGCTGCAACCACCTCTGCAGTTGGACTTTTGTTATTATTTTTCAGTCCTTTCCAATGAGTGATGTTTCTCAGCATTGACCCCAATAATTTTGCTGTTATTGTCTGTTTCCAGACATGTGAAAGCAGAGTCCTTTCATACACCACTGAGACCCTCTGAGGTCACCTTAGTAACCCCAATCCACAAGCACTAAATCATGTATCTTTCGCTCTCTCCCTCATTGACCAATCCTTCCCTCGCCACACAGGCTGCTCTAACACATCCTCCCTTTTCTGTACAAATCTCAAATACTAAAGTCAATGCCCTTGATACAGAAAGCATCAAGCCTTTATTAAGACAAGTAGGACAAGGCGGCTGTTTATAGCTCTTTTCAAACTCAAACAGGCATTGCTACATGAGTTATGCTCAGCTTCTCCTTTGAGAGTTTCTTTCACAAAGTGACAGATGCAGGTTTGCTTTGTAAATTCTAAGATAAACTCCTGGGAGTCCCTTCCATTTGGCTCTCAGCACAAAGAAGGGTGCCCCCCCACCCTGCTTCCTGAGAAAAGCTGACCAGGCAGAAAGGACAGATTAGGAAGAAAGTTTGACTCAAGCAAAGTCAGCCTGAGCATGCATTTGATTTATCTGGCAAAGTGTGTGCCAAAGGTCTGAGGAATAGCTCCTAGAGGAGCCATGAGGTATGTTCCTGCTGCTAGATGGACAGTAGAAAGAATTGTGGATTCCAGTTGTCTGGTGTTTTTCGTAAGAAAATTTGACACAGCAAAGTCCATTCAAAGAGTCAAAGAGCATTGTGCCATGGGGCTGCCATGTTCTCACTCCTCTTCTAGGTGGCTACAAGTTTTGCTGCCTTGCCTGACCTCAGATTCCTATGCAGACTCCTGTTAACTTTCCAAAAGCACTGTGGTGCCTATGTCAGAGTTCCTCCAAAATGCAATGAAACTAGTTTTTGTGAAACCAGAGCACGAGGTCTTTTCTTTCCAAGGCAGAGACCCTGGAAGCTGACACAGGATATCTTGGCAAGTCTACTGCAAAAAGTACATTGATCTTGTCAGCCTAGAGCAGCAATACAAAAGGCAGTGTAACCACATGCATGAGGGAGGTGTCTCTCCCCAGAACTGGATTTGCCAGAGATAAAGCTTGAGCTGAGAGCGGATGGCTCTCTGCATTGAAGGAATAAACCAGCAGCTTATGTTCATGTGCCAACACCAGTGCTGAGTTCATTTTTCCACAAACAACAGAATGCCTGTGAGATGCCAATTCCAGGACCACCAGGAGGCACGAAAGGTAACGAAGCAGGGGCAAAGTAATCACCTTATAAAATCTCCTCTTTCAACTCCTTCTTCCCCACAGACTTGCAACAAGCCATATGAAGTAAGTTCAGGGTGCATCCAGAGATGCATTTAGCCCAGTATACCCACAGGAATAGGACTTCAGATGTTTGGATCATGCTGCTAAAGTGAGCAGGGAAAGTGCTGACACCCTGCTTCATAAAGTGGTGGAGTTTGGAGACTCTTGTGTCACATGTATACATGGGGAGTTTGCTCTGTCCTGAGACCCTCAGTGGACGGGCACCTCACAATGAATTGCACGGAGAATTGCATGCCAGGTGCCAGGTGATGGGACCAAAGGGTGGGCTCCTAGTTGGATCATTTTGCTCAGCTATTACCTCTGTGGTGGCCATGCCACCTCCTAGGCTGCAGGGCATACATCCCCCCCCAAAAAGGGAGCGGACATAGTGGCATCAGAGCTGCAAGGATTTAGCACAGGGCTAAGTATGGTAAAAAAGCCTTGTGGCGAAAGGGTTCAGTGAAGGCAGGAAGCAGCTGTATCGTGTGGGGCTGGAATCTGCTCACCCAAGCGTAATGACCTATTTTCCAGCTTTTCCGCTCAGGTGACAATGCAGCAAGAGCTGGGCTGCAACTAAAAGTGTCTGTAATGAACCTGCAGCCCACGCTCAGGGAGGGAGCAAGGGGGGAGGCAGCCAGGTGGAAAGTTTAAAACCACGAGGCACAAAGATACTAATAAAAAACATCCCTCTTCTCATCTTCCCTAACCCTACGAGCATTCTGAAGATGAACCAGACTTAGGGTGGACAGTAGAGGAAGAGCTCAGCTCCCTGCATGTGTTAATTGAGGCTCACGGAAGAACAGTAAGCAGGACCCACTGATTTCTGGTGGGCATGGGTGTGTGTCTCAACCCTGCTTTCCATGTCCTCCTTGTGCAAGGGTAGTCTCTACAATGGAGA